AGAAGACAAAGACCATGATGTCATGGCTGAAACAGCAACGAGGATTTTAGAGCTCCAAACTTTATTTAAAAATAAAACTTCTCAATGTTGCATCTTTTGGGCTGCATGGCGGCCATGTTGGTAGCGCTGTTGCCTTGAAGCTTTCTCCAGTTGCTTCCCAAATACATGCATGTTAAAGCTAATTTGTGCTTTTGGGGCAGAAACACGCCAACGCCATCATCCGTCATGGCTAAGCCTTTCCAACAGCCCACTGTTCTAAATATCTGTCCAAAGGGACGGAGACCGCAAGCCTGTGATTGGTCAGGACGCTGCTTCCTTTAGCTACATCAACAGCATAACCCTAACCCATTCCGCCTCTGACGAACATTTCTAGTGACAAACAGAGCAGATTGAAGAACGTCCCGCTGTAAAAAAACAACAACAATAAAAACCGTTTACACCGCTGTGACTGAAGGAGTCCAAAGATACGCAGTACACGCTCCTTTGCTGCAATTTAAATGAAAACTAACGATGGACGTTTCGACCACGCCTGACATGCATCAGCTTGTAAATGTTCATCATTAGCATGGCTACAAACTAGGAATCGGCACGTCGCATATGTCACGTCACCAATTCCTTAGCCTGGCCTGCCAGACTCGTCCTCTGGTTAATTCTGGTAACTCACAGGCAGAGAGGCACATGAGGGGCGGGACTAGGCAGCTCAAAAATAACCAGTCAGAAAAAAGATGGAAATGCCGACTGTACCGCGCAACGCCGTAGATTTTTAGCTGTCGTAAGAAAAGGCGTCTGGCGATAGTGCAGACATCTTTTATTAGAAGAAAGGCTTTTAGCGCTTCTACTTGTGGTGTCCAAGTCATTTAGAACAGAGGAGAGAGCCGCAGCAAACTCCGCTTCAGTCGCCATGTTCGACTAACTCGGCATTATGGTGTGACGTACGCTACTCAGCGCTGATTGGCTCGGTTAGAATTCTCGCGGGGTGGAGTTATTTGTGGACTTATTTCCACACAAAACCTAAAATAGCGTTTTCAGCCCCGTTGACTTGCATTCGTTTTTCCGTTCCTCCCGGGACCCGTGGTCCAGAAGTAGATGGGCGTGACTTAGGCTCCCTATGATGGCAGGATGCACCAAACAAGTGCTACACCCTCTGCTGTCCTGGCAGAGAATTGCTTCACAACACTGACACTCTGATGGAGAATTATGAAAACGCCTCCATCAGTACGTGTGTGAGCGCAGAATGTAATCTTTGGGTTAAGTGGAGACTAAATTATCCCTATACACTGTAAAAAAAAAGACAGCCTCAAAAAGTAGTTTCAATTTATTTTTCCTATTTCACCTAAGTCTCCCTGTTAAGTTTTAATTGTTAAACTCATTTTTTTGTGTGTTTTGATATAGAAAACTTAAAATTGCTTGTTTACTTCAACAGATGATTATATTTTTCTCATTCTCGTGCTTTCAGTCAACTTAAAACTGCAATTTATAGATTAAAATATGACCCCGTCCACTGTGAAAACTGCAGTGGGTGAGGTGCATTGTGGGTAGTCATGTTCTTAGTTATTTAGCTCTAATTTGAGGTGTTTAGGCACATTTGTTGTGGGCGGTTGTGTTGTTCTTAGTTTTTGCTTTGTGTAGTGTTCCAAAGGTTGAGTTATTTGTTGTTGTGATGTTAGCACCGAATGTGCGGAGGGCGGTCGTAGGAATAAGAACGTTGTGCCGTTTCACTTCACTGAACAAAATAAAGGTGTCGTTCTCGCTAAATGCTCAGGACTCAGCTCTTTGTGATGTGTGTGAGGCGTGAGTTAGCCCGCATTTTTCATTGTTGTTAGCTTCCTGCTTCACCGTTTTCCTGTAATGGCATAGCTGCTGCTGTTTTGTTAAGAGTTCAGACAATTAATTCATTTGTTCAGTTAACAAAAACTTTTAATTTGAATGGACAACCATACATGTCTAACTCAAATTAATAAGTTAAAGTAATGTAGAATTGTGTGTATGTTTAACAAGACAAAATGATTTTTCCATTTTGCAATCTAATAACATTTGTTGTTTTGACTCACAATATAATATTCAAACAAAGCGTAGTTATTATTTATGATATTTGTACAACCTGATATATAGAGTTGAAAGAAAGTGTTCATTTAAGTTGACATGACTCAAGTTTTTAAGGCAGCTGTTGAACTTTCGTTTTTAAGTTATTCTGACCTACAATTTATTACAGTGTAGGTTTGAGTGATTGTTTAATTGTAATAAGCCTTTCATCATCATCATTATTATTATTATTATTGTTGTTGTTGTTAATAATAATAATAATAATTATTATTATTATTATTATTATTATCATAATAATATTTAGGTAATAGGAGATCAGCTGCCTTAAATTCTTAATATTATTCAACGTCATCAGTCTGGTGGCAGCCATGTTGAAAGTTCCAGCACTCACGGGGCGTGTCCAAATGTTACCACGTGTTCCAGAGTACCGGCGAGTGAGTGAGTTGGACTCAGACGG